CTACATCCATGTTGAAAGAGAAGAATGAAATAGGAGGACTCCCATTTCTTGATTTTAAAACATACAATACAGCTACAGTAATCAAAACTGCCTGGTCCCGGTCTACCAGTAGATGCGCAGAACAATGCAATAGGATTGAGAGTGCAAAAATAAACCCACCATCTGTCAACTGCTTTTTGAAAAGGGTGCTAAGCCCATTCAAGGAAGAAAGAAGCATCTCTCCAATTGATGGTGTGGGGAAATTGGATTTCTACATGCAGACAACGAAACAGAGGAACAAGCACCGGCAACGTTGGCCGGCCTGAATTTTAACAATAGGCGGTCTGATATAATAACAAAATCACAAACAGCAAAAGATGAAATAAATAAATGGGACCTCATACAAATTTAAATTTTATTCACCAAAAGACTTGACCAAAAAAAAAGAAATGGGAAGGCAAACCACCAACCAACTTTGAAAACCATGTATTTGACAAGAAACTAATTATATGTACAAGGGGCTACTCCCCCAAAAACAGAACCATTTTTTTTCAAATCTATGTTTGTTTGTTTCTTACAAAACAACCTATCACCTCCAAAGTCCTCTCCATTACACTTCACACATTTGTCAAACCTGCGATTCCATTCTTGGAAACATTTTTCAAACTCAACTGTTTGGATGGCTGACAGCAGCTCCCTCGTTTTGTTCTTCATCTCACTAAGCCATCAAATTGCTGTCCTTTCATGTCCCTATTCATTCAAGGAAACAAAAAGAAGTCGCATGGAGCAAAGTCAGGTGAGTGGGGCAAGAGAGACATGCTGGGGGGAGGGGGGGTGTTTGTTTTTGGCCAAAAACTGGCACACTGAGCTGGCTATGTGAGCAAGTGCATTGTGATGGCAAAACCAGTCCCCGTCTGCCACAGATCAGGCCTTTTGCGTCACACACTGTTACGCAATCTTTTCAGAGCCTCCAAGCCGAAAGCTTGATTGACAGTCTGACCTGGTGGAACAAACTCCAAATGCACTGTCCCCCTCACATCAAGAAAGCAAGCGAGCATCATCCTGATCTCTGATTTCACTTGATGAGCTTTGGGGGGGAGGGGACCATACTCTCTTTCACTGCCTTGATTGACGTTTGCTTTTGGGGTCATAAGAATTTCTCGTCACCGTGGGAAAATGTCTGGGTCGCTTCGGAGCTGTTATTTCAAAGCACAGCATGTTTCCACTCGACTGTTTTCTTGCTCGTCAGTCAGAACCCGAGGCGCAAATTTCACTGACCCTTCTCAGTCCCAAACTTTCCATTAAAGTTCACGGAACCGAGCTCCAAGACAGTCCAGATAACTTCCCCATCTCTTCAATGGTCCATCGTCAGTCTTTGATCACAGGTGCATGGATTTTGTCAACATTTTCATCCATTTAGGAAGTTGACAGACATCCAGAACGTGGTTTGTCGTCAATCAACATTCCACCTTGTTTGAAATGAGAAAACCACTTGTACATTTGAGTTTTTCCCATAGCGCTGTCCTTGTAAGCCGTGTTCAACATCACAACAGTTTCTGTGGCATTTTTCCTGAACAGGCAACAAAATTTCACAGCTGCACGCTGTTCTCTTAAATTGTCCATCACCAAAAAACAAGGTTCGAGTGAAACTGCTTTTACGAAAAAATTCACTGTGACCAGAGAGAACCTTTCCAGGCAATGCCACTGGGGGCACTCACTCAGAGTGAGTCGCCCTGTGCTTGCCCACCACGAACAAAGGTGTACTATGAAAGCTCTGCCCAACGGAGCTTTGTTCCAGTGTTTTATTTTAGTTTTGGGTACAGCCAAACAACAAAAAGACAAATAACTCAATCATAAAATGGACAAAAGATTTGAATAGGCATCTCACTCGAGGACATTCAAGTGGCCACCAACCACACGAAAAGATGCTTGGCATAATTAGCCATTGAAGATGCACATCAGAACCACAGTGAGACACCTATGTCCCCACTAGGATGGCTCAGATTCAAAGATGAATACAAAATCAGTAACAGATGTGAGCAAGGATGTGGGCAAGCTAGAGCCCTTATCTATATTGCTGGTGGAAATTCAAAATGGCATTGCAGTCGGGGCAAGCAGTGTGGTCGTTCCTCCAAAATTTAAAACTAGAATTACTATAAACCCAGAACCAAACTCACCACCATCAAATCGATTCCTACCACAGTCACCCTACAGGACAAAGTAGGGCTGCCTCTGTGGGTTTCTGAAGCCTCCTCTTTCTCCTGCAGAGTAGCTGGTGGTTTCAAACTGCTGACCTTGCTGTTAGCAATCCAACATGCAGCCCACTGGGATCCTGTCACTTCTCTATTAGGTGGGTACCCAGCAGACTTGAAAGCAGAGACTCGAACAGAGGGCTGTGCGTCAGTGTTTACTGCAGCACCGTTCACCATAACGACCCAAACACCCATCAACAGATGAAAGGACAAAGTGTGGCCCAGGCATACACGGAAGTCTACCCAGTCAGCAGGAGATAGGAAGTCCTGATGTATGTTACAGTCTGGGTGGAGTTTAAAGACATCATGCTGAGCAGAGAAAGTCAATCCTAGAAGGGTCAGTATTGTATGACCTCACTTACAGAAGAAGGCACAGAAAAGCAAATGGATAGAGAACAAAATTTATCAGTGGTTACTGGGGTGGGGGGCTAACAGTGATGGGGATATGGCATTGATTACGTGTAGGGTTGCACAGTTAATTATTGCAATTGCTGTCAATAAGCTGTACTCCTGTACAAAGTTGAATTGGCAAAAGTTGTGTGACGGATGCGTTTACAACAATGGCAGGCAGAGAGAGGGAGAGAAACCGCTGGGCTGCTTAAGTCCAACCAGACACCTCGTGGGACTTGATTCCTCGGTTTGGAGGTTGAGGGTCATGGTTTCAGTTAATTGGCTTAATAACGTGTTTAGTGCTTCTGTTCTACCTTCTAGTTCATTGCCTGGTGCCTGGTGCTTGAAAAATTGCAAGAGGCCATGCCAGGCATCATTTGTCTCTATCTACCTGGAGCAACAGAGGCCGAAAGACAGTCAGGCATGAGAGGGCGATTCTCTCCAGGAGAAATGGCCTCCTTTTCCATGAGACTAGAACTGGAGGGTGTCTGGCTACCATTGATCAAAGGTCCTATAGAAGGATCCTGGTCAAAAGGGGAAAACGTAGTACAGAATGCCGCACCCTCGGGAATCCAGACCTTCTGTAGCCGTGAAGCTTGGTTGGACCCTTCAAACCATTGCTCAGAGATCGCGTTAACCCTTAAAACCAAACTCTCCTGAAACCTTAGACCAAACAAGCATTCCGCTTCCCTAGGACAAATGGTGGGCTTCCACACTGTGTACTGTTAACAACTACTTGACCGGGATTAAATGGACAGTGGTAACTCTAAAGATTGGATAGAACCCTTGTGGGGGGGGGCGGAGTTTATGTTAATCAGGGGAAGGAAAAATCGGAAACAGAGGCTGAGAATGTTGCACACTAAACTGTGTGTAGACATGGTGGAATTGGTTGTGCTTTTCTGTGTATCGTCTCCACCGTAACAAAATACACAAAATGCAAAGGGAGGGAAGCTTTATAAAATTACTGCGAGGTGAGATGTGTTGTTCCCAATTTACAGATAAGAGAACTGAGGCCCCGGAGGTCAAGGACTTGCCCACGCACACACAGCTAGGCGGGATGGGTCTCGAGAGTGGATTGTGGGGCGTGCGTTCCTTGCCCGGCACTGTTCTGTCTTTGTGCACTTCTGCTTTCCAAGCGTTGGCAAGGAACACATGTTGCTTTCGAAATCACGAGAAAGTCCTACACCCACAAATACATAGCGTCTTGGCACAGGATAGTTCTACATTTGCATGTGCTGCAAATATGCGTCCATCCAAGAACATAGTAAAGCATTCAGGGCGGGGTGTGGGAGGTGGGAATTATGGAAAGTTCTTAACCACAATCAAGCACCTTGAGGGAGTGAGTCTCCGGGCCTGAGGATGCATGGCCATGGTCCTGGGCACATCAAGGTCAATGGGCAAAACCCGGTCCACAAAGACTATGTTCTACCTCCTGCTTTGGTGAATGGTGGCTGGAATCTTAAAAACCAATGAGCAGCCCCCTGTGGTACAACTATGGGCCTCTCCCACCGTCTAGAGAAAGGAGCCGTGAAGAAAGTCAAAGGGGCATGGGAATTAACCCAAAAGGCCAATGGACACAGGCACCAGGAAGACCTCAGCCTCCATCATCCGGACATCAGAAAAACTAGAGTGCCCGCCGGCTCCCACTCCTGACCGCAGTGATTGGGATGGAAATCAAAGGTGCTGGAGAGAGTTGGAGAAAATGTGGAATGAAACTCAAAATCATTTAAAAAAAAACAAAACACCAGACTCCCTGGTCTGATAGAGACTCGTGGAACCCCGTAGATTATGGCCCTAGACCCCCTTCAAACTTCAAACTAAAATCACCCCAGTGGCTCAACTTTCAACCCAACAATAGCCAGGCCTCTAGGTAAACAGTAACATAGTAATACTTGCTCCTTAGAATGAGCAACTTCTCCAGACTCAGATCGTAGAAGGCAGGAAGAGCTAGAAAGGAAGGAGTAGAAACAGGAATACCGGATAAGCAGCCAGAAGCTCTGACATTACGGGGACTGCGATCAATGTCACAAAAAGAATGTGCGGACGTGGTTGAATGGAAATGACGCTAAACATTTGCCCAAACGACAATCAAAAGTTAAAAGTCCTATAAGCCACTGATTTTTTTTAAAAGACCCCCTCTGTCCTGCTACACTGTGCTTCCGATTTTCACAGCCCTGCGCAGGACTCAGCTGCGGCGCCGCTGCTGGCAGACACCGTCTCGCGGCACCGACACACACACAGCTGTGGCCAGGGCAAGACACCCAAAGTCCCCATCTTGCTGAGGTCTGCTCAAAATCCTCTGGTCGCTGGGGCCCAGGCGAGGGTAGGTCCCGTGCAGAAGAAGGGGAAGCAGGAAGGGATGTGAAACTCGGCCCGCAGCCAGAGCCTTCTGGGTGCTCCACAGGGGCCCCAGAAGGCAGAAGGCCTGGGTGAAGGGAGCACCCCTCGGAGGTGAGGACCAGAGGCAGGTGAGGCCAGGGACTGAGCAGGAGGGGTTGGGGGTGGGGAGTAGGTGTGTTGGCTCTGGGAGCTAGACAACCAAGGCAGGTTCTATCCCACTATGTGTGAGGGTGGGAGGCCTGGGGGAACCTTTACTTATGGACCCAGAGCTGTAGGGAGGTCAGGGGGTCAGGATCCAGAGCTACCCATTCTAACCAGGGTTCTTGGGCCTGTCCCCCAAAATGCAGGGTGCTGGGAGAATTCTGAGGTGTCTGAACTCAGCAGAAGGGCCACGTGAGCTGGTGGTGAAGGGTTCACGGGCACAACGGGATGGGGAGGTGTGTGGGTTAGAGGCTGGGAAGGCCTGAGACCAGGGACGGCTGCACTGTTGGCTCAGTGCGCTCGTTAGATAAGAGCTATGCTTGGTGGGCTGGGTGCCCCACGGGGGTGCGTGGGGGCAGTGTCCAGGGGTGGCAGATGGAGTCCACTGGGGTTCCTGTTTGTGTGTCCAGGCGTGCGCACTGGACTGGGAACTGTGTCCTGTGGGGGAGGTGGTGGTGAGAGGGGGGGAGGTACGCAGTTGTGTCTGTGCATCCGTGTGACTGGTTCTGTGTGTGCCCAGGTATAGGGTCCCTGGTTTTGGACAGAGGGTGGGCATGCGGGTACCGGAGGAGGCATGCGGTGCATGTGTGCTTTGGGGAATGGGTACACACGTCCTGTGTTCACAGAATCAAGTGAGTGAGGGGTGTGTGCACACAGGCAACAAGCCTGCCAGACCCGGCTCCTTATCTCTGCAGAGCCATCATGGGGACCCCCGGAGGCTGGCTGGTGATCTGTCTGCTGGCTGTGTCCCTGGCCTCCACGGTCACCCAGGACGTGTGCCGAGCACCAGACGGCAAGGCTGGAGCCGCTGGAACTCCAGGCCGACCCGGGCAGCCAGGCCTTAAGGGGGACCGAGGGGAACCAGGTAAGGCCTCCCGTGGACCCCAGACCCTCAGCCTCAGTCTGGCCCAGCCTCTAGGGTGCAGACTTGGAGGAGGCACCTGGAGACAGGAATCTACTTAGGTCCCTACCCTCAGGGACCAGAGCATGGGAGGGGGCAAGCCTTCCTCGCATAGTTAGGGCCCAGACCTTGAGGCCCCTTCCCCTCCTCTTCTTCTTCCTCTGAGCTAGGAAAGGAGGGGCCCAGCAACAGTACAGCAACCTTGGCCGTGGTTCCATTCAGTTAATAGAACCACTAAGGCCTCAGGCTTTAGACCCTTGCTGCGTGGCCGCAAGCAAATTGCTGAGCCTCTCTGAGCCTGTTTCCTTACCTGTGAAATACAGAAATACCCGCTGGCTGGCACAAAAAGAGGAGTCAATACACTTTCCTCGGGCACACTTGCCATTCCGCCCCTCCACCCCCGTCCTGTTCTGGCAAAAACAAGAGCCAGCTGGGCTGAAGGAAAGGCACTGGAGGCGGGCGGCAAAGCAACAGCGGGAGGGAGCGGCTCCCAGCGGAGAGCAAACCCGCAGGATGAGCCGAGCAGCACTTCGAAGCCAGGCCCAGCCTGTGACCCCTGAGCCATGCCCAAAAGTCTGTCTGCTCCTCTCCATGGGCCAAAGGAAGAAGTCCAGGCTCAGAGATGCTAGAAACTTGCCCAAGGTCACACAGCCAGACAGCCCCAGCTCTCCCTCCCTGCCAGCCCACCCCACAGGCCGAGCCCTCCCTCTGAGGAGTAGCGGGCACGGGGCTGTCCCTGGCAGCAGCCCTGGCGGCGTGTGGGCGACCCTTGGCCCAATCAAGCACAGGTCCGCAGTTTGCAAGGGAGTTCTCTGCTCCGTGAAGATGTGCAGGGAGGGGTGTGTGTGTGTGTAGCCTCGGGAACCCTCAGGGACAGACAGTGTGTGTGTGTGCGTGTGTGTGTGTGTGTGTGTGTGTGTGGCTCTCACTCCCATCTGACTTCCCTCCCCCCAGGAGCTGCTGGTGTGCGCACAGGCATCCGAGGCCTCAAAGGAGAAGAGGGAGCCCCCGGGCCCTCTGGGAAAGCCGGCAACATGGGTTTCCCCGGACCCAGCGGGCCCCCGGGTCTGCCTGGCCTCCCAGGCAACAGGGGCATCAAGGGAAACCCGGGGAACATCAGGGACCAGCCTCGGCCAGCCTTCTCAGCAGTGAGGAGGAGCCCCCCGTTGGGCGGCAACGTGGTCATCTTCGACACGGTCATCACCAATGAGGAGGGCCCCTACCAGAACCACTCGGGCCTCTTTGTCTGCGCCGTGCCCGGCTACTATTACTTCATCTTCCAGGTGGTGTCCCGCTGGGACATCTGCCTGTCCATCATGTCCTCCACGCGCAGCCAGGGCCGGCGCTCCCTGGGCTTCTGCGAGACCAACAGCAAGGAGCTCTTCCAGGTGGTCTCCGGGAGCACGGTGCTTCAGCTCCAGCAGGGCGACCAGGTCTGGATTGAGAGGGACCCCAACAAGGGTCGCATTTACCATGGCGCCGAGGCAGACAGCATCTTCAGCGGCTTCCTCATCTTCCCGTCCACCTGAGCCAGGAAGGGCCCCCCACCACACACCCAGGCCTCATCCACTGTATGCTGTATGACCCTGGGGCACTCACTCCACCTCTCTGAGTTTCCAGGCACTGCTCTGTGAAGTGGGGGTGTTGCTGCTTTTGCTGCCTAAAGGGGGTGTGGGGCTGGCTCAGAGGCCCCTAGGGCTCGCTGCCCCACTGTGCGCACCCTTCACAGGAGATCACTTCTTGGTATGTTTCCTGAAATAAATACCTGAGCCCCTGTCTGCTGTCCGGTTCCTCCTCTGGATGCTGGGCGGGAGGCACCCCACCAGCTGCCGTCAAGATGGCTCAGCACACGGCAGCCCCACAATGGTCAGCGAAGCACTGGGCTCCACAGGGGCTTCCGTGGTGGCTTGTTCAGAAGTAGACCACCCTCTGCCTTTCTGCAAAGGGATCCCTGAGTGTCATCCTTTCTGCAGAGAGCTCCCTGAGTGTCATCCAATGTCCGGCCTTGGGGCCAGTAGCATGGTGACCATTTGTACCCCCCAGGGGCCGACGGGGCACGCTGGTATTTAGTGACTAACTTCAGGGGTCTGGCAGGGGCTGTGGCCGACTCCACCTGGGCTCACATTCTAGTTCCACCTGCCTGCTGCCCAGGTGCATTCCTGTTACACGACCTCTCTGAATCTGCATCCTTGTCAGGTGGGGCAAGAATGGCGCCTACCTGGAAGGGTGGTTTTAACAGAAAACGTCCCCCTAAACAAGCTCACTGCCCTCAAGTGGATCCTAACTCACAGCAACCCCGTGGACCAAGCAGAACTGCCTCTGTGGCTCTCCCAGGCTGTGAATCTTGACAGGGGCAGACAGCCTTGCCTTTCTCCATAGATGTTGCTGGTGGGCTCAAACCCCTGGCCCTGTGAGTAGCAGCCTGACCTGTTGTCCACTAAGCTACCAGGGCTCCTCACAGGGCTGTTCCCCATCCGCCCCTCACACGTGACCCCTCCTCCAGTGCACATGCATAGCCACAGACCAGCGGTTCTCAACCTTTGGGTCAAGACCCCTTTGGGGGTCAAACAACCCTTTCACAGGGGTCGCCTGATTCATAGCAGTAGCAAAATGACAGTGGTGAAACAGCAACAGAAATAATGTTATGGTTGGGGGGG